CTTGCCCAAGAACACAACACAATGTCCCCGGCCAGGGCTCGAACCCGGACCGCTCGATCCAGAGACGAGCGCACTAACCATGAGGCCACCGCGCCTCAAGTTGTTTCAAGAATGCAATAATAAATTGTTTATTGGAAAATTGAACCCACTAGTCATTCCGAGAATATGACTAATGGGTTTAATGTTCAAAAAAGTCATTTTAATATTGATTTTTGAAATGACTAGCGGGTTCAAAATTCAAATAGTCAATTCATTATTGCATTCTTGAAACGACTAGCGGAGTCAATATTCAAATAATCAATTCATTACTGTAATCTTGAGGGGTACACTTCACTTGGCTTGACTGAAGTTCTTTATAAGAAGAAATTTCCTCCAGATGGTCAATATAGACAGGCAAAATCATCCTCACAGTTGCTCACTTCGGCTGGTACCCAGCCATTAGTGAAATCCTTAGCTTGGATATCTTCATTAAATTCTGGATTTGAGTAGTATTTTTCAATAGACTATTTTCATACTCTCAATATTGGATTAGAAGTAGGGGCGAATGGGGCTAAGGCAGGGAGTCTTGTCATATGCAAATGACACTAATGTTTTTTAGTAATATTTCCCTACGTGAGCCTCCATTACAAGCTAGTTCCAGTCCAACTCTGATAATGCAAATGTTATAGGCCTATTTAGGGTGGTCCACGTACCAGGATCAGCATTTTGTCTCAACCCTGACTGGGGGATCACTGGAATAATCTTCTTTGTTAATTTGGCACGATACTCTAAAACATTTTCAGGATAATCCTAAAAGAAGTTGAAAACCATACTTTCATCAAGCTTTGAAACAACCTTGTTTCCAGCGCTTTTCTCTTGAAATTTGTCCCCATCTAAATTTCAAGGGAAAAGCTGTCGGTATGAGGTTGGCTATGAAGTAAACCCCTAGAGGGTATGGAAATCACCTCTGTCACTTTATTATATGGGATTCTTTTCTGAAAGTAGGACCTTGGGAGCAGGTTTGAACCCAGACCTCCAATGAAGCATCTCAGCAATCACTTTTCTTAATTATTCTGACAGTTTTATTCTTATTTGTTTATCTACTTTTTATTCCCAATGTCTCTTTAGAATATGGATAACAGCATGTGGCCTTTGATACATGCACCTTAGACAGTGGGGACTAGCAGAATTTGATGTACCATTATTAGTTTTGTGTGCTTTGGCTTCAGTTCCTACAAATTATACGTGAGTAGAGCAACCTGCACGCAATTTTTGCCTTTAACATGTACTTAACTTGTGGTGTTTTGAAAGTTCTCAAGTCTCTCAGTCTGTTTTCATGATTAGTCACAAATCTTAACCCACTTATTATCTTTTAACTGATCTGGCACACATCCCTGATTTTCCTGTCTCCTTCAACTGCAATTTATTAAAAACAACAACAACAAAAACAACGGACTATTTACAAGTTGAAAAACGTCTCTGTGAGCAGCTGTAATATTATAAATTATTGTAACTACAGTTATGGCGATGTTTTACCTTCTGTTTTAGATCTGAAATTTGCCTCTCGATTTCTTCCATGATTTCCTTGTTGCTATGTTCACCTGTCATCAGAAAATAGGAGAGTCTCTGGTAGAACACTTGGAGGATTTCTTCCTGTCTGGTGCTGTGGTATCCATTGTATGACTGATTCTGAGGCAAGATAAACATTTTTGAGAGGTAAGAGATGTTTGTTTGCTATATTCAGGGATGAAGTTGAAAACTTGAACACTATTCCCTTATATAATGTTTTTTCTTTCCAGTGCCACAGACCTAACCACTTTTTTTTAGGCAAAAGGGCGATGTTTGAGTTATTTTAACTGATAGAAAAGTAGCCTGTAAAATATAGATTCACTGTGAAAAAAGGAATTATTCTGCATGATATTCCTAAACTCAAAATATGAATTCTCTAAATTGATTGTCAGATTTCTAAATTTGAAGTTTTGTCAAGATCACTTACTTTCTCATTCAAAGTGCTTATTTTTCGTCGGTGGCTTATCTCTTGAAGCTCCAACTTCTGCTTCATGTTTTCAAGCTGCCACTCCAGAAGACTCACTTTCTGTTCTAATTCAAGCTTCTGTTGCCTCAATTCTCGGATTTGATCTTCATATTCTTGAATTAAGATTTCTTTCTTTTCCTGTCATAAAGAATAAGTTACTTTGTACACAGTTTTTATTATGTGTAATCTGATTCTAGTGAATCTGTTGTCTTACAACAATACCATGTGTACTGTGTTCACTTGTGATAATTTCGGTCATGAAAAGAGATTAGATCCTCGCAAAAATGATTTGAATTCTCTTTCTATAGAGGACACAGTTCCTCTCCAAGGGACTTGGTTTCTTCAAAACAAGACAAATAAACAAACTCCCAAAACATTAGTCATTTACCTCGCAACCAACTGCAGTAGTTATTATTGTAAAGCAGTTCAGTAATTCTTTCTCATCACTTCCTTGTTCATTAAGGAACAATCAATTTTGGCCGGCGTGCTGTTTGGATTTGTGGGGTGACTCCAGGACTTTTCAAGTGTTGTTACGTGATTTACGCGCGAATACTCACGCAACCGTGACGTCATCGAGATACATCAGCAATTTAGAGTTGCTTAGCGACTGTAGGCTCAATACACTCGTTTTCTCTTATAAGGATATATTTTATAAGAATATCGAGGCTGAAATTTGCGAAATTTTAAGAATATTTTAAGAATAAACCCAAGGGTGAGATTTTGAAAAGACTATAATTTTGTGTTTAATATTTGCATAAAACACAATACAATTATGTTTTTAACTAAACCGTATAAAATTCTTCTTTTCTCTAAACGGCAAAACTAGCCAAAAAACAACAAAAACAGCGCTTGCTGTTTGTTCGATGCTAATAACATTAGTGTGTCATATCAGGCTTTAATAATGCCAGCAGGCTGGCGCCAAAATTCCTGTAACACCATCCAGACACCAAAACATTCGAAAACAGAAATGGCATACGCTATAATATAAGAATATTCACAAGAATATTTTCAGCCTAAAATCGGCAGAAAAATAGAATATTCAGCCTTGGCTGGAAAAAAGAGTGTGCTCCAACTGAGAAAAGTATTTAAGAGTTACCTTTCTAACTGAGTATTTTTTAACAAGGGTAGTAAAATTGAATGGTTACCCCTGTGATGGCTCTAGTGATATTGTAATCAAGATCAGTGTCGACGCTAACCCCATGTCCATTTACCGACCCTGCTCTCAAATTGTCTGTAGCATAGTTCAGATGCGTTGTTTCCAGAATGGTTTTCCTGTTCTCCAGACCCGTCACTTCCGTCTGCAGGATTGTTAGTTGGTTCTTCATGTCGCAGATTTGACTCTCGATTTCGTCCCTCTCTCTTTTCAAGGACATCAGGTTATTGTCCGCCTTAAGGCAGTCATCGTAAAACGACGAGCTCCTCAGCGGATTTGTTGCGAGAGTTTCGGAGGAAACACTCTGCTGTGGGGAATGAGTGTGGACGTGGGAATTACTGATTGATGTTTCAGAGTTGTAAGAAGTGACATTATAGCTTCTGGAGAAAGAATGGGAGGTTTGAAGAAGTGACTGTGAGGAGCGGTAATCTTGCAGAGTTTCAATCTCTCCTCTTCTGTTTAAGTCGCTGGAAAGTCTGGAAACTTCTGACTTGCCATGATCATCTGTCAAAGATGTGCCATCTGTGGCATTTCTCAGTTCGTGTGGTTCTTGTTCAGTAGGCTGTCCATTCATTTCAAGACGCCCTATTTTAGTTTGCAAATCGTAAATGTAGATTTCCATTTCTGACTTCTTCTGTCGAAGCTTTTGTAGTTCATCTTCTTCGTTATTCTTTAGCGTTTGAATCCTCAATACCTCTGACTGTAGATCTTGTTTCTGCCTTTGTAGCTCATCCAGTTCTTCCTAAAAATGATAGACGGGAAACGTAATAGCATTTGGTTTGTTTCTGTAAATGAAGTTTGGGACCTGTCATGAAAGGCATTTCTTTTAAAATGTCTACTCTTTCTCTTTCTTTTTTCTTTCATAATCTCAACTAACCTCCTTGGTTACTTTAATTTTCTTCAATTTCAGTACATGTGTATATACTTTTACATATTTTGACAGGCCATTTTGACATTTTATTGCATGGGAGAGTCCGAAAGGTTAGGATAGCGTTCCTGTCAGTCAGTCTTGGTTTATGATCGATCCTGATATTTGCGTAAACAAAACTCTGTAATGAAAAATGTTAAAGTTTACTACAAAGTAACTAGATGTGGTTTTCATAGAATGTCTCGTTTCTGTTACCAGTCTTGAACCAGTGCAGCGGTTTTCTTATTGAGACACCTGTCCTTCGAAACCAAATTCAGATGCCTATACAAATGTTTTGCCTTCTTACTTTGCAATGTAAGATTCGTTTATCGATATAAAAGAGGGAGAAATCAAATTATTAAGTCTTAAAAGCTGAGTTAGACAGGTTACATTTCCTATAAGTAACGGGGTATTATATATAGCTTGGCTCACCTGCACACGTAATGTTTCATTGGTCTCAAATCGCCAGTCAACTTCCCCAGCTGCTGTGTCTAGTATATGACCTTGACTTTGTTCTTGATATTCCATCTTTAACCTGGACAGCTGGATCTCGATTTCGGTCTTTTCTTGACGTAGCTCTTGTACTTCTGTCTCAACCCTATCTTTTAGCATTTGGACTGTCATTGTCTCGGACTGTAAAACTTCTTTTTGACTTGTTAAGGTTTCCAGTTGTTTTATTATGTCCTGGACATTTTTCTCCAGGCCAATAGTAGCGCTGGTTTTCTTTCTCCAAGCCTCGTCACCCATGGAAGTATCCGTCTGTAGTATACGCTGCTGGCTCTGCAAACCAAACACATCTTTTTCTAAATCGGCCTTTTCTCTTCTAAGCCTATCGACTTCGTTCTCGTCTCTGTGTCGCTCGTCTTTCATCACGGACCCTTCAGCTTCCAGTCTCGTATTTTGACTTTGCAATGCTGTGATCTGCAGCTCAAGATCGAGTCTCTCTTTTCGTAGCTTGTCGAGATCGCTTTCTTCTTGTCTTGCAGTTTCTTGTACGATCGTGATCTCGGCTTCCACTTCTGTTTTGTTCCTTCTGAGAATCGTGATGGCCCTCTCGAGTTCTTTACGAATCGTCTTCAGCTCCGAAATTTCCTTCTCGTCATTCTGCGTATACTCTTTAGAGAAGTGAACATTCTTCGTGGAGTTTTCTGTTTGAAGGTCTACGAGTTGCTTGTTTAGTGTGTCCCTCTCTTGTTGCAGATCAGCAATTTGCTTAGCCATACTGTTGTCAAACTGGGGTTTATCAACCTTTCGTAGAGGAATGCCTGACTGCAGTTTTCTATTGCCACCCACCTCTCGTTTTTCATTCGTGACATTTTCAATCGTTTTTACAACACTTAGTTTTTCGTACTTCAAGGCCTTGATCTCCTGTTCTAAACTAGCGCTTTCATCGTTTAACTCGCTTAGTCTCGCTTCCAAGCTTGTCACTTCTCTGTGATACTGGGACACCTCACTCTCTAGGTCAGCCTGCTCTTCCTTTAAAGAGGCTATTCTCCTCTCTAGGTCATCTTTTTTTCTCTGTAGAACCCACCTGTCTTCGTCATTTTGTTTGTCTTGTAACACGCCCTCTTTCTCTTGACTCAGTACCTTTCGACGGTATTCCAGCTGTACGCTTAAATCTTTCTCTAGGTCTGATTTTTCTTCGCTTAATCTTCTAATAGCGCTCTCTAAGTCATTTCTTTGTCTTGTCAAGTCCGATACCATTCTTTGCCATTCTTTGGCATCTCTTTTATGATCAGAGCCACGTACTCCTTCATTGAAAACAGAACTGTCCTGCGATTGGTAATAAACCTCTCTCGTGGCGCTTGGAGCGATGTTCTCGTGCGTGACGCGTGAAGTCACGTTGTCGTGCGAGACGTCTTCGTGTTCGTTATAGACATTGCGGGATTTCTCGTGTTGATCGTTGAACTGCCTGTGAACCTCAATTTCCATTGTCGAGTTATGCCGTTTGAGAATGGCAATCTCGTGTTCGAGTTCAACTTTTCCCCTTTTCATAACGGCCATGGAATCTTCTAAATCACTTTGTTTTCTTTTTAAATTGGCAATAAGTTCTTCAAGTTCCGCTTTGTCCCTTTTCAACGATGCTACTTGATTATCGGAATCAGACTTGTCTCGTTTCAAGGCAGATATTTCATCCTCGACTTCTAGTTTTTTTCGTCTCAGTGTTGCCAGTTCATCCTCTAACTCGTCATTTTTGCGTTGTATTGACGACAGCCGACTCTCAAGATCGTGCTTTTCCCGCTGCAGGGTGCTCACCTCGCCGTCCTTTCTTCTCACATTTTCTTGCATGGATGCTAATTCACTATCGTTGCTTCCGAATTTCATGCCAAACTGTCCCGTCGAGTTGGACAACCGTCGCTTCAAACTCGCTATCTCGTCCTCCAAGTCGCTTTTTTCGCGCCTCATTGCCGACAAACTCAGCTCATGTTGTTGATTTTCAAACTTGACGGTTGCAAGTTCGTTATCTTTTTCACGGATTGTTTCCTTCAATTTAGCGCTCAGATCTTGCCCTGCTCCTGACGAAATCCTGCCGTCGTTCATCTCCTTCAAACGCGTCTCCTTGCTCCTTAAATTCTCCTCTAGCTTGGCTCGCTCTCTAATCAGCATCTCTCGCTCTTGTGTCAATACCGACATCTTCAGTTCAAGGTCGTCGCATTTACCCTTGAGTATCAGCGCGTCTCTTTCGTGATGTCGGAAGGCATCGTCTTTGGTCGTCTTTTCAATCATGAACTTTTGTGCTAACTCGTTTTCTACTCGAATTCGAATCTCTTCTCTTTCACCGATAATCTTTCTTCTCATGTCTTCTGTCTCCATATCCAGTTGCCTGAGAAGTTCTTCCCTCCTCTCAGCAAATGTGATTTCCATCTGTGAGTTTTCTTGTTTTAGAAGCGTCATTTCCTCGCTCAGCTCTTGAATCGTTTCCTCTAGCCCTCCCTTTTCTCTTGCAAGTCCAAGCTGATATCTCTCTTCAAGCTTCAGTTTCAACGCGCGTTTCTCTTCCGACTGCCTCCGCTCCATCTCCGATATCTCCTCTTCAAATCGTTCTTCAAGCTTTCTTCTTTCTTCTTTGCCTCTTCTCTCCACGTCTTTCTTTTCCTTTTCCATGATTTCCAAGTCCTCCTTTAGCTTTATGTTGACAGTTTTAAGAAGCGAAGTTTCATTTTCAATACGCATCATGAACTCTGCTTCGAAGTTAGCTTTCAGTGAATTTCTCTGCTCTAAGAACGCCTGCTCCATCTCCTTAATCTCTCTCTCAAACTTTGTCATTATTATCTCTTTCTCTTGATTTAAATTCTCGTTTAGCTCCTTCAACTGCAGCGTTAACTTCGAAATATCCGTCTGCAGGTCTGAAATGTTCTCTTCGTATCGTTCCCTTTGTTTTTCAAGCTCGTTGCTGTGCTTTTCTTCTAACTTTCGCCTTGTGTCGTGGAGTAACTGCAAGTGCCTTTTCTCTGTGTCATTTTTATCCCTTTCAACATTCATCTCCCACTTCTCCTTTTCATGTCTCAGTCGGTTTTCCGCTTCTCTCTTCTGCCATTGTAGCTCGGAAATCGTCGTCTTCATCTCGGCCATGTTCCCCTCGTATTTTATTCTTTCTTGTTCCAGCCTGTGATGGCAATCTTCCTCAAGCTTGCGTTTTAGCTCGCGTTTCTCCAACTGGAATGACCTTTCAAGCACTTCCCTCTCTCTCTCATATTTATCCTCCAGGTCCAATTCCGGGCGCATTTGACCGGTCAGCGTGCCGTTGTTTATTCGTAAATAAACCTCGGCAATTTCGCGTATCAAATTTGAATCCACTTCATCGATATCATGATCGCCATTCGACCTTCGTTGGAAGCTACTCGACCGCTGAACATCTGCAGAACTCTCGGAAAATGAATGAAGTCGACCAGCATCGGAAGCAAATGTATCCGAGACGGCAAAACTAACTTCGGTGTTCGCTACAGTGTCGGTTATTCTTGAAGCTTCGATCATTTGCTCCTTGTCCATTTCGAGTTGCTTTAGTAGCTGTTTTCTTTCCAAATCAAATCGTCTTTTCATGCGATTTATTTCCTCCTCGTGCGTCTGAGCCAAGATATCTTTCTCAATGATAAATCCTCTCACAATGTCCTCTATTTCCTGTCGATAATTTTCCTCCGAGTGATTTTCTTGGCCCTCGACCTGCGTGTTTAGCTGAGTCTCCACGTTTTCTACAGTGAAACTTGAATTTTCCATTCTACTTGTCTTTTACCACACAGCATCTATAAATATATACAAAAAATAAACGTCTAATATTCGGTCGCATTGATACTACATGTATACCACTGTGTTAAATGTTTCGTATTCTGCGCACGGATTTAGATCTGGAGCGATATGATCAATTAAGTCAGCTGTTTAAACTCCGAATTACCATATTTGGGGGCATGATATTGTTTATTGGACGTGTTTGTGGACCTTGCCACACATCTCAAGAACTGGCACTACTCAAGCGCTATGGAAATTTTCTTCACGTTTTTGTCGTTTGCGTATCGTTACTAAGAGGCTGTGCGGTTACTGTGGAAACGAAATAATCTGCATTAAAGTAACTAGTTTCACGCTGAGCCAAAATGAAAAACATTTGCCTCGTTTATGCTTATCTATGTTCTTTCTTTACAGATTTTAAGAGTTTGAAGTTGTAAACATCACTGGCGAGTTAATAACAACATGCCATATTTCTGAATACGACAGTTATTCATGTACGGCGCTGTTTTGACATGTCTAATTCACAAATTATTGTCCCCTTAATTTCATATCTTTTATTAAGTTTTGCTTAGTTCAGGTTTATCACATTTTCACAAAAAAAGTAAAAAATAGCAGAAATTCAAAAAATTACCTCGTTTATTTTAAATACCACTTATTTAACTGGAACGAATTTCAGACGGCTATACTAGCCTTCTCCTTGTGCGGAAATCGCATCGTTTCCATGAAATTTGAATATTTAATTATCACTACTTTATTCCAAATTTGATGAAAATTAAACATTTAATGAGAACGCGTGCTATAAGGTAAGTGAGCAGCGACAAAAGGCCAGAATAACTCGGCGCGTCAGTCTACAATAGAGATACCAGTGTGGTATTGTGCAGATGGTATTTTCCTTTGGTTAAGGTTTATGACCATAATAAGGAAATTGTCTTCCAAGTTCCATTTTTGTTAGAGACGCGAAACGTGCAGAGATCTGTAGCCCACGCAAATTTAATATAATAAAACGAGAGCAAAATTGAGATTTTTAATTGTCAATTTAGATATACGGCGTTTCATTAAGCCTTGAAAATTTTTGTCATGCACCTTTGGAGAGCCTACTGGGTTTGTTTTTCCATCGAAATAAAATATTAATTTTGTATATTGGACAGTTACAAACAATATCGCGTGTTGAACATCGCCTCTCCAGATCTAGCCAGTTGTGATTGTACGGTCTATGACGAGGACTGCTAGACAACCGCGATGGCGTTTTAAGCACCCATAAAAGGTGAGATTGTTTTGAGGTTTAGTTTGTTCTTTGATTTCTTACTTGACCTACTATCATTACCTTCGCTTGACGCTTCGAAATGTTGATCCCTCGGCGACGCAACAAAACTGTTTGAATTAACTGCTTGTTTCTTAGAATAAATTTGCAATGAAATTGGAAACAGTGAGATTCAAAGAGATAGTCAGGTTTCGTCCGCCATCCGAAAGCAGTTCAAAAGGCAGTAACTCTTTTCTCGGTAAGCACTGATTTTGCTTGATGTGTAGTGCGCCCTTTTTTTACATATTACAAGTTTACAAGTTTGCTAATGAATCAATCGTTTTCGTTTTCCTTATTACAGGCATACCATTCTCTATGTTGCCTTCTGTGATATGAAATTCGTTTTTCGACCTCATCGTTGAGAATCTCATATCATACTTTTTTCAGTAAGAATTTTGTCTGTTAAATATTAGCTTTTTTGATGAAGGGATTTTTTCTACACCAGATCTTTTGAGATGGTTCAGAGTAATTTAGTAGTGACCAATAGTAGGGATCAGACCAGATGAAGTTTTTGTTTTCTATCAGTGTGTAACGGGTCCAAATCTGATGTCAAATGTATAATTTTAGCAAATTGTGTCGTCACAGTTAGCTTCTATCCACACTGTATAAACTTAAGCTTGATATTCCTGGACAACGATTTGCTGATGTGAGGGACGTAACTGTGTCGAGTAACATCTACTCATATTCTTTTTGTTTGACTGAAAAGCCAGGTCAGAGTCGGGAATTTGTTGAGCCCTCAACTTTGCTTTCCTGGTCAGCAACATTCCTCAATGTGTATGCCGTACTTCAAGTATGTCGACGAGCTAACTTGCTGACGGGTGACATTGAAAGAAATTCCTCGCCTTGCGCTTTCTTGTACTATCGCTGAATTTAAACATATCAATTCAAACTTGATAATTATATTGCCCCTTTGGCGATCAGTGTTCATGAGCATTTAAAAAGGGTGTAAAAGCTTAAAACGGATGTAAAAAACTTTAAAATGTAATTTTCCCAGAGCATGCACTATGTGTCACAACTGGCAGTGAATGGTGTGTCTGGGCAGTTTAGTGTTCAACAGAAATGCCTTATGCATTGGCGTCGCCGGTGACCACAGCGTCTGTTGATGGTTTAGCGGCCAGCATGCTATTCCAAACAAAACTTGAAGGTGTCAAGATTTTCAAGCCCGGAAATTTATCCCTTTATCGAGAAAATAAAATTGTAATAGAGTGGACCAGAACGCTTTTATCGAAATATTACTCACCTCGAAACTGTCATTAGTGAAAAAACTTGAGAAAAATTAAAAGTACTTGGTGTTGTTTTACATACTCAGATAGTGTAGGCTTCCCTCGGTGTGCTGGTTCATTGTTGTGTGTAAAAACGTTTACACTTTCTTTTTTGTTCTCAGTCTGTCTAATATACCTTCGCACAGAAGCCCAACTGTTTCAAAAAAATAGCTCAATGTGAATAAATCTCTTTCACTTATCATTCTGCGTACGGTTAGATCGACAGAAATACCAAACACCGATAATGTAGCTTATTGAATGTTTTTTTAAGCTGAACTGAGCTCATGCATTCTTTGTAATCTGGAGGGTAAACTTAGACCCACTGCCGTCTTAATTCGACTCAACAATGCGCCTGTAAAATTACAATTCGCTAAAGCGACGGCATTTGGAATTCCAAGGACGCCATTTTAACTTTTCTTTCCCGACTCACCTGGACGTCTTGCCCCTTAGGAAGGCTTCGTAAGATTTTCCTGTAAACTGCGCTTCTTTCTTGGTCGACTTGAAAGCTGAGACCAATTTGCAAAGACAATATTTAAGTACATATGCTTTAGATATTTTATATGCGATATTTTCCTTTATTGACTCGATATCTGTTCATTGGCAGGTGGCAAGTAGCAGACAAATCTTATTGGCTTGTTGAAAACCCGACGTAGTTCGTGAATATTTTTGTTCAGCTTCATCGAGCAAAACAGTTTTGGATCGAATTCATGATTGTTAAGGGATAAATGGCCTTGGAAGACATCCAAAAATGCAACTTACTGTTGGAGGCAATCCTGACATTTCAAGGTTTCAATTTTCCTGTACAACTAGCAGTACTAAACTGTTGATATTTCGCAGGGAATCATATGTCCCCGAAAATATTATTGATATGCTGGAAAAGACCTCACAAACTTACCCGTATAGATCTTACATGTTACAATGACTAAATTAAGTGCCCAAAACTTGCATTATTCTTGGTTCGAAAGCAGCTGAAAATGTTTAGTGCGTTTTTCTGGACATAAATTATCATAGATGTAATCTTGGAATCCACTCCAAGGTCTCGCAAAAACTAATCCGTCGTGAAAGTAAAAGCTTAAAAGTTTATGCCCAGTTATGAGATCCAAACGGAAACCCATAGTTGAAAATACCAGAAAAAGTGACAATCAGAACGTTATTTCTTGACCTGTTGTTTCCCTGATGGTGTCGGTCGTGTGCCAACAAATAATCCGGGAAAATAGTGTGCATCTTTAATTCTGTTTTGACTTTCTAGTATTTCTTATTACCTTCTTCTCTTATTATGCTTTTGATACATATACTAGTTTCTAAGATCTTGTAGGAACCTCGTGTTCACCTTCTTTTTTTCGTGTTCTCCCTAACTTCACTTCACAGTTAATGCCAGTACTTAATTCAAAGCTATCACAAGTTTATACACGATCTTTCAAACACGCATGCAAAAAATTTTAAATTGAATCCGAACGGCTTGTTTTCCAAATTACTGGTAAGATCCGAACAAACAGAAAAAATGTTTTATCATTTTTGCCTCCCTTAGTTACATATTACTTTGTGATATCTTTAAATTTATAAGTCCCTGAGTGATTATTATATTTCTGTTCTCGGTGGCGTTGTAAAATAGTTGTTATCCTGGGGAGTTTCCCTACAAAGCGTCTTGTGTTTCTGTATCGACCATGTAAATGGCTCAGCGTAACCACTTAGAGTGAACGTTCTTTTGTGATGGTTTAATAAAGTGCTCTTCTTCATAATGATTAGTTTATGTAATTGATCAATTTTTTATTTCACAGTGGTGGCCAATCGCCTCCTTCTCCTTACATTCTTAGTGAAGAGAATAAAGAAATTGAACTAGATGACGTTGTTTTGATGTACATCCAACTTCTCAAAGGTAACATTACACGTACAAAGATTGTATGGTGATAAAAAAAGAAGTGTTAAAATTTGAGTTTAGAGTAAGAGTCTAGGCGATAAGCTCTGATACTGGAGAAAAGAGATGACTAATTTAAACACTTCAGGCTTGCAACTATGGCACAAAAAGAGAACAACAGTGCAGCAAACATTATTTTATTCCTCCTAGCTAATAGTAATATACATTGTATGAAGTCGCCCTTTTCCAAACGATATACTATTCTATGATTCACCAAACATAACTAGTTAATAACATTTAATCCCAAAAGGATCGTGCCTATTGAGAAAGAAACGTCATACGAATATCGTGTAAAGTAGTTTAAATACAGCCTCGTTCACAAACATCATTATTTGTACATCTCTGGAGATTTGATTATAGCTACCCAATTATCAGATTACTTACTTCTTTTAACGCGTGCTCTACGCTAAACACAGTTTTCCAATGACGTTTAACGTAATATTAATAGTTGCCTTTACAATTTCCCAAGCTCTTCCGTGAACAAAAAGTGGTTTTATTTCGTGACAACAATTTTTATGTAATAAGGAATTACTCTTATGTATCTATACTGGTTAAAACGTTCTCACAATTTGCTTCAAACTGAATTTGAAACTAAGACTTGTCATATCAACGTATCGTACTCAGACCTGTTCTGAAACGAATAGGATGGCAACTCTGCGTTAAATGACTTCTTAAATTTGTAAAATTGTAAAATGGTTTACTACTCACGTGAATTGTTCGTAAACCTCGTGCAGCATATTCTGGGTAATTAGGGCAAAAGTTAAGCGGTTGGCTTCTCAACCAAGCGCGTGCAAAGCCAATTGTGACATCCCTCGAGCTTTGAGGTTAAAAAGCTTTATCGTTTGTCACGTTCATTTGAAAACTGCTCTTTTAAAGATCTCGTGCTTTCTTGACTAGTCTCAAAAAAATTGAATACCCTCATGTCTTAGCTTTAAACTAATATCGTTAGATCGTTGGCCACGTAATCCCAGTGGCTAATCCACACCCAGTGGCGTAGCTAAACTACGTCTTAGTCTAATGAAGTCTTTCCCCACTTAATGTTCACTACTTACTAAAATGCTTTCATCAGCCGTTTGCATGCAGTTGTCTATGATCCACGACACACCTGTCGAAATCAATAATAGTGATAGGAATAAATCTAACAACCTTTACTTCACTTCAGTCATTTACCCGTATTAAAAACAAAATGGTAGTACCATTCTTATTCAGGCATGGTCCCTACAGTACCCAATCCTAGTTCAGTGATATCATTCATAGACATCATGTTACATAGACGTCTCTTGAAGAATGATGTTCGACTGTACCATTGCGTGTTTCCTGATTTGATCAAGTCCTTTACTCTCATGTTCTTCCTACTTGCATTAGTTATTATATAACGGTCTCGAGTACTCGGCAGTTTATCACTAGTGTGGTTCTATAGTTCCACAGTCGATGATAACACGTCAAAACGTTGCGGGCCTGATATTTCCCCACTGCTATGCATTCTAGGAGTGACTCTCTCACTGTGGTGATAGCCTCTTTCCCTCAGGTCACGCGAACGTCTATCAAAATGAGCTGACCTCTGAAAAATGATCAGAAGCAAACGTGAAATAATTCTTATTGCTAAACTTAGCATTTTTATGTTCTTAGGGTGCCAAATTTGGTTTGACAAATATAAGGCAACAGATACCTTTGATCATTGCAAAGAAAATGTGTTTTAAACTGTTGCACACGGCGTTTTTATTGTTATAATTGTTTTGTTATTTACTGGAAAAATGAAACAAAATGTTTGCCTTCTCTTAAGATTGCTCCTCTGTTAGATTTTTTAGCTACGTGCTTCTTGAGCTTGACGCGTAACTCCTTTGAAAGAGTTGAGGGCTTCCCAAGGGGGGTAGCATGTTCCCTTGTTCCCTTGAAAATTTCACTTTTTCTCCCTTGTTCCCTATTAATAAATTCCACTGTTCCCTAAATTTTTTTCTCAAAGTTCCCTCTAATAGCAGAGATATCCCTTATTCCATGAAATTAAACCCAAAATTATCCCTTGTTTCCTTGAAATAAATGATCATGTTCCCTTTTTCCCCAAAAACCCCTGGGAGGCCCTCATAATTTGGTGGTGTATCAAATCAATAGTTCTCTATCGGAAATTGACGTTTCGCTTCGCTTCGCTTCTCTGCGCTGTGCCAACTTATTGATATTATGAGGGTGAGTTAGATTTTGATCACATTTGAGATTAAAAGTGTAAACCATTTGTTTACTTCCAAGCTATTATAAAAGAGGAATTTCTTTGACTTGCAGTTTTGAAGGCCTAGAGACGTGCGGTATTATGGTAGTTTTCTGTCGACAAGCTTTGCAAAGATAAAGTTAAACTTACTCTTTGTATCTCTCTTGGCTGCATCATAGTTATAAAGTTCATCCTCGTTCGCCATTCGTTCCGCTCCTTGTCGAATTGCTCTTCGATTTCCTCTCTTTCCTTTTCAAATTCCGCCTTAACTCGGCTTTTTTCTTGACGAGCTTTCACCTTCATCTGGGAAAGATCATCGTGAAGCCTATTGATTTCTTCTTCCATTTCCTTCATTCTGCTCTCATGATGGTCTTTCTCTCTCTTCATATGCTCCTGGTATTCATTGTCCAACTTTGCCAACACTTTTGAGTTAGTTTCCAACGATGGTAGAGCATTGGCGTTTGCACGACTTTCTCTGTTGGACATTTGATTCTGAAGTTGTTTTCGGTGCTCTTGCAGCCTTTCTATCTCCTGTCGCAGGCCCTGTAGTGTGCTTTCGATGTTTTCCTTCTCCTTTTGCAGTTTTCGTCTATAATCTTCTTCTAAGGAGGCTTCTACTTCCTTTTTGGCTACTTCGAGAGCATTAGATTCGGAGATAGCATCGGCTAATCGGCGCTCCAAATCTGCTTTTTCCGCTTTGAACTTGAGCTTCATTTGCTTTATCCTTGCTTCGAAATTTTCTTGTAGTTCTTCTTTTAGAATTTCAGACTTTGCGTTTTCGCTTTTCATCTTTTCTGTCCATTCTTCTTCAATTTGGTTGATTGTGTCGAGTTTGCACTTCTCCCACATCTGCTTCATCTCTTTCTTCTCGTTTTCAAACGCTTCCTCCATTTCTGCTTTATCTTTCTTCTGTTTCTTTTTGAGATCTTTTTTCTCTTGTTTTACTTTCTCCAGTTCTTTGGTCAAAGCCTGTATTGTCGCTTCTAAGGCCTTCTTTTCTTTCTCGAACTTTCTTTTCATCTCGTTCCGTTCGCTCTGCACTTCTCTCATCCTGTTTTTCATTTGTAAAAGAACTGTGTTACATTTCTCTTCGGTTTTCTTTGTTATGTCCTTCTGCTCCTGGACCTTTTGGGAAACAAGATCTTGAATCTTGTTTTCGAGACCTGCACTCCTTGAAGACAAATTACTCGAAAAATCGTCTTTCATTTTGTCTTCAAGTTCTCGCTTTTCTCTCTTGAATCTGTCTGCCAACTCTTCCTCCTCTTTTTCGTGTTTCCTTCTTAGGTCTTCAACAAGGCCCTCGTAGTATTTCTTGCTTTCGTCCAGTCTTCGTTTGTAATCTTCAGTCAGTGTTTCTTCGAGTTTTTCTTTTTCTTTTTTGTATTCGTTACACAAATCATTCTTTTCTTTATCGTGCGTTTTCTGCATTTGAGCAAGTTTCTGCTCAACCTTGCGCTTTTGCGATGCAAGAGTATTTATCTTCTCTTGATTCTCTGCGATATCATTACTAATATTATGGCCCTCTTCGCTAAAACTTGTTCTGGGTGTAGGTGTGTCTTCGAATAGCAAGTCACTCTGTTGATCTTGGTAACTAACTGCCGCGTTTTCCTTCATTATTTCGTTTTCGAACGGTGATCGTGCTATTTTGTCGATCTCTTGAACACGCGTTTCCAACTTTGCCTTTTCTTTGTCAAATCTGGCCCTCATATCCTCCTTTTGACGCTGAAACTCGTCCGCCATTTTTCTTCGCTCGTCTTCATTTTTCTGCAGATCTTCCTCGTATCTTGAAACAGCATTTCGTAGCATCTGTTCCCATTCTTCAGTCACTCGTCGCACAGCTCCAGCGTTGTTGTTTAATTCATCTTGCAGTTGGCGATACCTTTCTCGTTCGCTTGCTAACTCGGAATTGTGCCTCTCGACGAGTTCTCTCGTGTCATTGACATACTTCTCTTCTGCGGCCCGCTTTGCGTCTTTGAGAGTCTTAATATCAGATTGCAGATCATCTATTTCGTTGTCCAGTTTTTTACTCTTTGCTTTTTGTTCTTCTAATCGTCTCTCAGTTTCTTCGATTGCGTTTGTCTTTTCTTGTTCCAACGAGGATGTAAGTTTTGATTTTTCCTCAGTGAATTCTTGTTCCATGGCTTTGATCTTCTTTGTCAGGCGGTCCACCTCGTCACTAAGGTCATTATTGTTTCCCTCCACCTTGCTGAGCTTTTTGGTGATGTCCTCGATTTCTCCCATCATATTTTCCTGTTTATTCTGCATCTCGGTTCGTTTCTTTACATTTCTTGCAATTTCTTCCTGCAGCTCTTCGTTTTTGCCCTCCAGTTCTCTCATCTTGCTCACATCTCGTCCTATTCGCTCTACCTTTTCCTTCAAATTGATGTTCTCTTCTTCTATTTCTTTATTCCTGCGCTGCATGATGCCATTGTATTTTGTCACCTCCGCAAGTTTTCTCTGTAGTTTGTTGATGTCACCACTGTTGTCTTCAGTGGCTTTTGGGACATTCCACAACTGGCCTTCACTTCTAGTTTGTTCGTCATTCAAGTCCATACCCATGTTATCCTTCTCTGGTTCTTTGTATTCCTCTTCTTGAAGCGTCCTCTCGAGAAGAGCAGCCTCGATGTCATTTACGGGGCTTTCAAACAAACCGGCTTCCGTCGTGTTTTCCATTACTGAAACGATTGTCTCCCCCGGAATCTCCGCCATTCTCCTTATAAGCTGCTGGTTCCTTTTCTTTTCGTCATCTAATTCAGACTTAAGTCGGCGGTTATCGTACTCCTGTGCGGCCATCATCTTTCTTTTCTCAGTTTCAAACGAGGCTCGTAGCTCTTCTTGTTCTTTGGTGTGCTTTTCTGTGTCTTCGAGCATTTTGTTTTTCAGCTGCATTAGGTCTTGTAGAAGTGCTTCGACATTTCGTGCGAGCTTACTCTTTTCTTCAGTTTCCTTTCGCAAACGTTCCTGCAACTCCGCCAGTTCCCGACGATTCTTTGCCTCCATCTCCCGTTCTTGTTCTTGAAGCTTTTGAACTCGATTGTTCATATCTTGGATTTCTTTTTCAAAGCCACCATTGCATTTCACCAAATTGACAATGACAGATTCAAGTTTTACTTTCTTCGAAACCTCTAGCTCTAGTTTACTTTCAAGCTTGCTCACCTTTTCTGTTAATTTTGTCTTGATATCTATCATTTTTATGTCATTTTGGCTCAAGAGTTTCGTTTTCTCTTTGTTTTTATTTTCAGCCTTTTTCAGGTTCTCCTTTAGAATTTCTATTTCTTCTTCCAGGTCAAACTTCGTCTCTTCCATCTCTCTCTCCTGTTCCTTTAAATTTCTTTCCCTTTCCCGTAATGCTGTTTCCAGTTTGAGTTTTTCATTTTCAAGCTTAATGTATTCATCCTTGGGTACGTATTTGTCCAAATTGTCAACAAAGTCGTCTAATGGATCATTCCTGGGAGTGTCTTGCAGGTGGTCAATTATTTCGCTTAATTTCTCGTTTTCCTTTGCCAAAATGGCAATGTCTATTGCGAAGCCATTTCGTGCTGGAAAGCCACTGTCCCCGTTCTCGCTAGTCAATGCTTTTCCAGGGAGTTCTTTTGTCATGCCAACATGCTTATTTCCAGCGCTAGGTATTGTTCCTTTCCCTTGTGGACCTCCTCGTTTAAGGCGTTGATTTTCCTGTTTTAAATTGCGTATCTCCTCTTCCAGTTTAGATGATTTTAATGTGAATCTTTCCTCTAGGAAATCCCTTTCCATTTTGTCCTGTCTGTATTTACGCTCGACCATGGCCTTTTCCCTCTCTAGCTGTCGCATTTTCGCTTGGGAGTCCCTCTTCTCTCGCAAAATCTCGTTTAACCTTGCGTCGCTTAAATCTTTGTCTGCCATCCATTTGCGTGTCTGCATCTTGCTGTCTCCACCATACGGGTACATGTAGAAATCGTCAGCCTCGTCTGACGTTTCGCTTACGGTGTCAGTAAACCCTTCTGGGTTATCCTTTCTTAGCTGCATCATGGCCTCTTTTAGAATACTGTTTTCTTGAAGGATGTTAGATATGTCTCGACCGTCATCGGAAAATATCGAGGACAAGTCATCGTCACCATAGAAACCGCCTGAAATACCGCCGTCGGCAAGTCCTGCTGAGAAATCATCTTCCGGTTGAGATCTGCTTTCGACCTGTTCCCCTGAGGAACCTCCTTGTAATTCATCATCTTGCTCTATGACTTCTCTGTCTGTATGAGGATATAAAGAGGGATTTTCTATTTGCGATGTGTCTTCTGGATCTCTGTGTTTGTCACTGTCATCTTCGTCTTGTGGTAACACTCTGTCCTTATCGTTGTAGGTTTCCTGCTCCTCAAGAAAGCCACTTTCCCGGCCTTCCTCATTCCTGTCCGGATTGTCCTCCTTCTCTGTGTCCTCGTCATCGTCCCTTCTTTCAGTGTGTGGAAGAAGACTTTCCCTTTCAGTATTCTGTACTTCGGAGATCCCATCGAATTCGTTATCGCATGCTTGTAAATATCCGTCAGTGTTATCAGGTACGATTTCCTCGGTTAGCGTACCGGTCAGGTCCATTTGTTCATCATCCTCGTCTCCCTCGTTTGTTTCGGTGTAGAGCAAGGAATCTGTTAAGTCAACATTGTTGTCGTCTATTAATGTCGAGGTTTCAGATTTTTGCGACAATTCGTCGCCGTCCATCACCGTGTCATCTTCATGTTCGTATTGTCTTCCCTCATCATTTTGATCAGTCTCATACTCTCTCTCATTCTGTGAGAGGAATTCGTTTGAATCTGTCTCAGAAACAAAGGGCAATTTCTTCTCTACAGGCTGCGCGAGCTTAGTATCAAACTCGTCGAACTCTTTGTTAGTGTCGATAGACATTTCTTCCATGGATAATCCGCCTGCTTCTTGGCTGTCATCTCTGTTTTCTCCTTCTTTGTCCACAGTTAACGTGTCGTTTGAGTCAGAGTCTCTGAGTAAATCAACATCATCATCGTCTAACTTGGTCGTATTATCTCCCAGACTTATTGTTGTCTCGTGATCGGCACTACTGGACATTCCCTCCGTTAACAGTTCTGTTGCGCCCTCTTCTTCCTCATTCTCAGCTTCGTTCAATTTTTCAGACTCCTGACCAGTAGAAGAAGCATTTAATTCTGTTTTTTCACAGGCATCGTCCTCCCCGTGTGATATGAATTCATCTTCGTCTCCTCTCAACAGGGGTTCTTCAATATTCTCTCCCACAGAAGTGTCATCTTCATCGTTAGCTGCTGTTTCGTTGTTTTCTGTTCCACTTAAATTAGAAGTTTCGTCCTCCTGCTCCGTGAATCCTTCCTCAGTTTGCTGTTCATCCATCCAGAAATCTTGATCAATCCCAGGCCAACTAAAACAACACGTAAAGCTATGAACGATTGTTTACATCAACCTGCGCGGCTTGCAAGCCGCAATTGTTTATCCCCCGCCTCTGAAATCAACTAAAGCAAAAAGGTGAAAGTGCTTGATAGTTTGATATCTCACCGGTAAATGTTCCTGAGTACTGACACTGAATGTGCGACGACGATTCTGTCTTGAAAATGTTTAAGAACGTTTCTTTATTCCGGAAAATTCGAGTGTAGTTTGGCATAGTTCCTCGCTTGCGTTAAGCCAAGACATTCCCTTTATGCTGTATTGATACTGTGCCAGGCGTTTGAAAAGAATTCCACATAAATTATTTCTTTTGTAGGAGAATTTGTTTTTTGTTCCAGTAATCCGTGAAATAATCCTCAACGTGCCGTAATAATTCCAGTCATGGGACTATATCCAAAGCGTGTCACTCATAAATGCTAAGTAACAAGCAATGAAAGCAACCACCAGATGAGCAAACACCTTTTTTGGCAAGCATCTTGAATCCCATAATATCGTTGTCCTTCTGACAATCCCCTGGAACATTCCTGACTGCAGTGGAACAAAGCAATGTTAAGGAATTTTCTGGCAGTTAAAATTTTTCAATCCACAGATGTAACTGCAAAGAGTATTACTGTATGCAGTTTACGGATAGCCAAATTCTTGACAACCACAAAGACCACAATTTTTAATTTACATACGCAAACGCGATTCAACACAACCTGTTGTCTGAAGAGTAAAGAGTATTTTAGAAAAAAAAAACAGAGGTGGAAAATATATTTGATGAATTTTGATTACATTGAACATCAATAACCAGATAGCTTCCGCATTTGTAAAAAATTAGCCGTGGGATGTGCAGGAATTTTCTAGATCTTTTTCGAAGTACGATGGTTGTCAAGCGACTTGTTGTTGCTTCTGTGCAACCGATCGCTGCTTGTTACTGGTGGCTGTCATGCAAATGTAAATCAATATTCACAAGGCATCACAAGGCCTTAAGATAAAGGCACAGGAGATAGACCCTGATTCCTGAAGTCTTTCTGTCCCAGGCTTGAAGTATGAATCGATGAATTCCTGTTAGTTAATGTCTTAAATTTTTTTCTTGCCGTGTCTTGCGAGTTAGTCTTCCCTTCAAGGACCAAACATTAGCTAACGCGGTTAGAAGGCAAATGCGCGATCTCAACCACAAGATTGGCACTACCCTACAACCAGTATTTNTGATGCTTACGCTATACAAGAGATATGTTGATGATACCTTGGCGAAAATGCCTAGCACTGATGCTGCAGTTGATTTCCTGACTACCCTTAATGGCCTCCACCCCAGCCTGTCGTTTACGACGGAGCTTCCAGTCGATAACAAGATCCCCTTTATCGGTATGGAAATAGTCCAGAACGGAACAAAGATTGAAACACAAGTTTACAGAAAACCGACTAACACTGGCTTGCTGTTGCATTTCCAAAGCCACACGGATAAACGCTACAAACATTGCTTCCTCAAAACAATGATTCATCGTGCATACGCCCTATCTTCTACAACTGAAGCTTCCAATCAAGAATGCACTAGACTTCGCTCCATCTTTACTCGACTTGATTATCCGATAACGACCATTAATTCCACCATTAACAAATTTATCCTGAACCTTTCATCCGATGTACGTGAAACTGAGACAAGTAAAAGACGGCCGTGTCTTGCGAGTTAGTCTCCCCTTCAAGGACCAAACATCACATGAGCTAATGCGGTTAGAAGGCAAATGCGCGATCTCAACCACAAGATTGGCACTACCCTACAACCAGCCCAAAGAAATCAAGCTTCCGATCGTAAATCAGCAATGCGTGGTTTATTTATTTTCATGTGATCTGTGCGATGCAGATTATGTCGGCTACACAGCCCGACACCTCCACCAACGCATTGCTGAACATAAAAACTCGGCGATTGGAAAACACCTTTTGGAAGTCCACGGGGACATAAGCCTCCTCAACGAAAGCCAGTTTCGAATTCTCCGAAAGTGCCAAGGGAAATTTGATTGCCTCGTCTATGAGATGCTTTGCATAAAGGAACGGAATCCAAGCTTGATCACGCAAACTGACTCCATCCGTGCGAAACTCTTTGTTTAACTTTAAACATTTTAACACATCCATTGAACTATTGTTTTACTGACTATTTATACATTTTTTATCAACCATCATTTTGACTTGATAATGACGTTAGCTCAACGTCGAAACGTCTTCGTTTTTTAACAAAATTTTTAACTTTCTCAATATGCTTAGAAATATTTTATCGCAATTTTTTATAGTTAAACATAAATCAAATCTCTAACCAAACTTTAATTTTATTTTGTGTGTGTTATTTTTTTGTTATTTATGGGCTTTTTTTATTACTTGTTTGTTTAAATTGTTTTATCTACTTTATTTCTTGTTTGTAGCCGATAAAACGAGCACTCTGATCGGCTAATTCTGGGGCATTATTCTCCCGTAATGCCAACGGGCCGATTACGGGGCTGCAAAAACAAAAAATAATTTAAGAGACTTGGCTTTGTTCCTGAAAATTGTAGCGGCTGAAAACGATGAGTGACGAGGAACAATCTGAGAGTGAATTCTATTTCCCTCAAGAGCTACAATTTCAGGAGAACAGAGAATTCACAGCAGAATTACGAGCAAGTTGGTACCGCACTGGACGAAGGAAACTGCCAAACAGCTTTTTTATAAGTCATGAAATAAACTACTTATCAACGTCGAACGTTCGTTCTTTACGCTATCGCTATCGCTCGGTCAATACGGCGAGGTCTCGGTAAGAGATGTTCCCATGAAGAGCTCATTCTCGATTAATTAGTAATTAGTAATCCATACAAAAAAGAAAAAAAAGTATTAAGATAGCATAAAAATAAAATTATATTCAATGTGTTTAGTACTATATCTATAGCTTTTAATTCTATGCCTGCCTCTCTTAGATTTTGCTGTAATATACATGAGTTCAATCGCCGGGCTAAAATATACTACTTTAAAGGAAAACTCAAAAAAGGCTTTTAAGGTAATTCCTCTGAAATAATAGTGACAATAGATTTTTGTTCAAACTTTGTCCACTGAATATTTATCATATGATAACTTCAATTTTGAAATAAAAAAGGGGGCTGCCCATGCTCATTAAG